CCTAAAATTTGGAGAAAGGTTTGAACTTAGTGTGCTTTCACACCTGTGAATCGATTCAGTTGTTCTGAAAAAGGGATTACAATTGTTACATTATTCCTCTTTGTTCTTGGTGCGGTTCGCTTTCATACTGCAAAGTTTCTAATCGGATCAAAAGAGCTAAAACAAGTCACGTGTGAGTAAACTCTCCCCACATTGGTCAGAGAGGGTTTATTTTGCAGAGTCCCGCTCAGGCTCAGCTGTCAGAAGAGGTGGTGTTTGACAAGGTGCGCGTGACGTGTCTGAAGAGTGAGGAGAGATGCGTTGGGGAGGGGTGAGAAGGGTACGCGACCTAGCCTATTTGAGGACCAGGAGGGAGACGCGAGATTACCAGAATATTATCAATATTCAAAACATTCAAAAACACACTGATATAACCACGCTCGGATCGTATTGGTTTCTCACTGCAATCGATTCGCTCCAGAGTTCGTTTCAATCGAGCTGAGACCACCTCATTCAAACGATCTCGGAGCGTTTGATTTGGTGCGGATCCGAGAGCGATTGGTGGTTTCACATTTGCCAAACGAACCGCACTAACTGGGCAAACGAGACAGGTTCTGAAACAAAAGTGTGAAAGCACCCTTAACCTAAAGGTCATGAGACCCTTCTCTGGTCATTTGATTGTTCGTTGAGTGCAACAGGAGAAAAACAAAAAAGAACCTATTTGTTACACTCCTGGAACATATTTCGCTCTCTCCAGAAATGTAAAACCAGGGGTCATATCCATAATGAGCCTGGGTTGACAGTAGCAGTAATTATACCAATACGGCAGACTCCTAATATGCAGAAAGTTACTGTAAAAGCTTTAAAATTACTCACAATACATTACATATTAAAGTAGTGGACTGTACAGAATGTATGTGGTACTTTACTGGGCATTTTTGCAGTAAAGAAGTGTAAAATTGCAGCCAAGTCTAACAGCGTATTTCTAAGATCGCAAAATTATTATTGCAGAGGTTATAATAATGTTAAACTTACAGTAATTCCATAACAGACTACAGGATCTTGCATAATAGACTATATTTTCATCATAAATATTTTAATATCAGCCTTTTCCTGCATTGTATTGTTTGAATGCTTGATTCACTTCATGGCCATTCTTTTGAAGGTTTGAGGTGACGAACATCCTGGAACCATCATGCTCATTTTATTATTTTCTTTGCTGTCTCACAGGTTCAGAACAATCCATCACTGATTGTTCAGAAACGTCTGTATTTGTTTTTCTTAGAATATCAAACGAATTTAACAATGAGACAAAAGGTGCACACTTTTAGCTTGTGTCAGTTTTTTTCTACTCTTATTTGTGCATGGTTTTGAATATTGTGCCAATGCATAGCGATTTCCTCTTGTTTGCAGGTTGATTATTTTTCTTGTGCGATAAGCAGATACTTCCCCACCAACTCAAACAAAACCTCTATGTTGTAATGAGTTGTTACGTATTACCCCCTTCTCATCTCTCCTTTTCCCACGACCCAACAGGAATTGTCTGTAGGAGTGAGACACAATCGCTCTTTGAGCTCGTCTACAAACACTTGTTCAGTTTGATTCCAGATCTGTCGGTTTGATCACTGACATGGTAGAGGGCCTGAGTGGGCACTGAAACTGCAGTTATGGATGCCCGTTTAGTCTCTTGGCAGGATATGATGCATTGGCATAAATGATTCTGCCACATGAACACGTTACAATGCATCTGGTCAATTAGATCAGTAGAGAAACGAGTTTAATCTGTCTATTATTTACACTTTCAACCGCTTTCTTGATTTCTTTGAGGGGGATCAATGAGTGTTTGGGCTCTCAAATTATTATGTAATATGATAAAAGACTGATAATTGGATGAACTAAAAATGCATCTTAATACGAGATAATAACCAAAATTATACCTTAGGTTTCATGGATATGTTTGTAGGATTAGCCAAAAATACATTGCATTGAGTCTACTCTTTACTAGTATACTAGTAAAGTTTATGACGACATTTTGTATTTGTTTTTTACTGTAAATGCTGTATATCAATACTCAATTTTTCCAGGCCCACATGGAATCTGCACGCACAGAATTCTGCAGATTTCCGCAAATTTTTACCCCGTGATTAATTCTGTTTATTTTCTTATGTAAATGTGCGTAAATCTATATTCATTCAGTTTTTAAAATAATTTCTAAATTATAAATTAAAATAAATTATTGACTAACATGAAAATGTTCATATAATTTATTTACAACACAGTTAGTGAAGTCCTATTTTCTGTCTTTTAGTAGATATATAGAAGACTTGATTTCTTTACCAAATAAAGTGGATCTTATTGGATTTGCATTGTAAACATTAAATAAAAGTTAAACATGTATTTACTTTGTAGTTCATATATTAAGGTTTTAGTTATGATACTCCCAAAATTATTCTACATAAATCCACAGATTTTTAACAAAATTCTGCGCAGAAATAGCAAAAAATGTTTGCAGATTTCGTCTGGCCCGACTAATAACTTAGTTTGGACAACTTCATTTCTTAATTTGGCGATTTCTCTTAACGTTTACATTTTTGGATCACTTAGATTTAACACTTTCAAAGTTGTATTTCTGCCAAACTGGGACTCGAACCAGCAGTCTTCTTGCTGTGAGCTGACAGTGCTAACCACTGAGCCAGCGAGTCACACATTTTGAAATTTTTTTACTGTAAATACTGTATATCTGAACTTAATTTTTGACTGCTAATATGCACTGACAACAACTTTATTCCGAAATTTATCAATTTCATGATTTTTCTTGATATAATTTTTTTTTCTAAGTTAAAAAAAGTAACATTTTCAAAGTAATACATCAGTGGAAATGTATAAATAAATTAAAACTGACCCTTGACTGGTTTTGTGATCTACACTATAAGAAATATACATAAATTTGCAGTTTTCTATCAGTTATTTTGTGATTCTTTTTTTTTTCTTGTTTCTTTGTTTATTTATGGTTTTGAATTGCATTATGGCTCCTTGATCTTTCTTCCATCAACTTTTAAAGTCTGAAAAAGTAAATTTTATTACCATTTTTAAAGTGATAAAATGTCTAGGTTGGTGTTGTATAATATTTCAAAATGTTAATAAAAGTCACTTTGTTTAACTGTTGAATTTTCTACATCAAAAGTTGACAAAGCAGAGATGAAGGTCCCATAATGCAATTCACAACCGTAAATAAACAGAAAACACTTGTGAATCACAAATACAGAAACACAATTGGTCAAAAGGGGAATATAGCTCAAATCATATGCTCAATACACATGTATTTAACACTGAATACTTATGACTGGGTCAACAAATGCACATCCTAATAATAATAATAAAATAGCAGGTAGGCTATAACATGATAGTGAGGTGTATAAGCAGACCTTTAGACTCAAATATTTATTATTCATTCATTCATTCATTTTCCTTCGGCTTAGTCCCTTTACCCATCTGGGGTCACCACAGAGGAATGAACCATCAATTTATTCAGCATGTGTTTTACACAGCAGATCCCCTTCCAGCTGCAACCCAGTACTGGGAAAAATCTATACACACTCATTTAAACACATACACACAAAACGACTAATTTAGTTTATTCAATTCCCCTTTAGCGCATGTCTTTGGATTGTGGGGGATGCCGGAGCACCCAGAAGAAACCCACACGAACACAGGGAGAACATGCAATCTCCACACAGAAATGCCAACTGACCCAGCCTGGACTCGAACCAGCGACCTTCTTGCTGTGAGGCAACAGTGCTAACCACTGAGCCCGCGTGTCACTCCTAATATATTAAATCTTCGAACATTTTTTTAAACATACACTTATTAATACATTGAGTGTATGCTATTACAAAAATATGGCTGTACGTCAAAGTTGATTTATAACTAAATATTAGTGTGTTTCTTCTCTCTGATTCAGACATTTCTGTCTCCTGATTGTTTTCATTAGATTTCAAAGCAATACGACATGAAAGCTTTGCTTCTATTTTGATTACAAACAGTTTATTTGGAACGAGTTCATTCTCCTCAGACACTTCCTTAAACAATCCCTCGTAGGAAAAAAAAACATTTCTTAAGAATCACATATTCGCCATCATGCACTGTGTTATCTGTTTATTTATACACTCCTCTCACAACAGTTTTTTTCTAGAACAGTAGTTTTTTAACTTTTTTAATCAAGTACCACCTCAAAAAAAATTGTCTCTCCAAGTACCACCAAAATGAGCAGTATTGAAATACAATAGCGTAGTAGGCCCAGTAAAGCAGCTAAAACTCTGCACAGTTAAAAAACGCAGATTACCTCAGAAATATAGGCTATATGTCATATATGGCATATTATATTCATCATTTTTGATAAAATTTTTTAATGTGTGTAGCATGTACATGACATACATCATTCCTCCGTGTACCACTAGAAGGAAGCCTGCGTACCACTAGTGGTACACGTACCACAGTTTGAGAACCACTGTTCTAGGACATATAAATATTTTTCTAATATAACATAGTTTTTATGACATTATTTTCATTACTATGTTATTACTATGCAAGAATTAAAATCATTATTAGAAATGGATTAATCCTGTATTTTAGTGTATTCAAATATTTGTGTAAAGGTTTTTTTTTTAATACAGAACTTGGATAGGATTTTTAAAAATCTAACATAATAGTAAACTTAGAGAACAAATCTCCATACTCACAACAATACTTCTCAACTCATCACCACAGAAGTCTGCCATGCATAATGTTATTAATATTAGTTCATCTTTCGGTTTTTCAGGCTTGATTCTTGTGATGTGTAAATTTGCACGCTCCTTTACGTATTCATCTTACACTGTATGTCGTCATTCCTGATCAGCCAATCACAGAGCACATTCCCAGTCCGACCCCCTTCACTCCCGACATTGTTGCGTCATACATATTAAACCGGCGAGCCCGGACAGCATCTCAGATTCACCGGGTCGAGCAGACAACTTTAAGGTTAATTGAAACACTCCAGTTAAGAAAAAGGAGAAAAAATCAACTTATTTAGGAAAAGGGGAGTTGTCAGAAGAAGTTTGTGAGAGGCATCTGAAGGCATTTACGCGGTCTCCCTTTACAACACCATACTTGGCGAACTGTATTATTTATTTATTTATTTAAGAAATAGTTGTATTAATTTCATTTAAAGTCGAATTCCGAGGAAATCCAAGTGGGGAAAGGCGAAGTTTCTGCCGAGTTAACGTGCGCCGAGACGTCATTGAAATTTTGACAAGACGTGATGGAAGGCGGAAAGGTACGTTACGTTTAAAACTTCATTTTTGTCCCCTCTAATAATAAATAAATGCGAATATATACATATAACGAATGTAAAACGTAACAGAGCATGGTGTGGAAAATTAAACTGGTTTGTGTTGGTATTTCAGTGTGTCTATTTCTGGCTCTCTCAATGTCAGGCAGGATATTAACGTTAGCCGCATAGCATCGCGAGCCTTTCTCTCGAGCTCAAAAAGTTTGACAAAAACCAAAATAAACTCGTACCACATGTTGGGATGACACATGGGCAACCGAGCTGTGATGAGCTCACATAGCCTTTTAGTTTCCTTAAAAGTGGTAGGTGTCATAATGCCGAGTCTATGCCGGGAACTCGTTTGCCTGAGGAGGGAGACTGTGTTTAAAAACCGAGTATGCTCCCTAAGTAGACGGCATTTTTTGGGTACCACAAGCGCGCTTTCTGGCTTTGTCTCAAAAGCAACGTGAGTTGTTCTCATAGGCGGTATTGTAAGTGACTGTGGTGGCGCTATGGTTGCCCGAAATGCTGTATTTGTAGGTAGCACAATGGGATTTCAGACACAGCCGGGGGATCGTGGTGTACGTGCCCACTTTAACCCGATTTTCAATTCAGCAGTCATCATTTCTTTCTTTCTTTCTTTCTTTCTTTCTTTCTTTCTTTCTTTCTTTCTTTCTTTCTTTCTTTCTTTCTTTCTTTCTTTCTTATAATTTTCAATTAAATTTTCTTTAACGTCATGATTGTTTAAATACATTATTACTAAAACGTTATTACACAAAATAAATAATAAAAACATACTATTATATTTTCTTTCTTGTAATAAAAACTAAACAATATGGCATTACAACAGTGATTACATATTATGACATCAAAATTGTTATTATGATAGTGTTTTCTTTCTTTTTTTCCCTAAATAAGTGCATAATACTGCATTTTAACGGCTTGAGTTTGTCTTAAAATTCATATTAAATGCAACTATTATGTTTTAAATAGAACACTCTATCTCTAGTTTTCTTTTGAGTCCTGTCCAAACTAGTGACTAACAGTAAACTAGACACTCATACGTGACTAGTAGGCTGTTCTAGATGGTAAACCTAACCACAGATGCATGATGATCACCCATGACAGATCAAGTGTCTTTTAGATTTCCTGAGGTCAGGGACTTTACAATATCTTGTTGTTTGATTTTTTTTGTCCTTCAAAGAAGTAGCCCATTAAAAACAATCAGTAGGGGTGTTTTAGCTTGATTTGAGCTAAAAACAATGACTTTAAAGTAAATGTGAGTGCAGCCATTAAATTAATTAAATTCTGCTGCAGTGCACTACGGTGTTGCTGTATTTAATCTATAGCCGACGTGCTGGGAACGATGGAGATGTCCCTTAGGGAGGGGACAGCCACAGCTGGCTTCTAGCTAGGGGACACACAGCATAACCCTGCCAGAAAGGTCATGTTCTTGACCTATTCCCAGCACAATGTCTAATGTTTTGGCTTTGTTGTACAACACTCTTCAGTCAACGTGCACGCTCGTGTGGCTCTCTAATGCCACAGGAACGTGTACACATGTTGTTGGTTGTTAAGACAACCCTCGTGCTCGGTCTTTTCATACCAAACTGGCTTCTGATATTAAATAACATATGGGAAGAATATATGCTTGTGCCAAAGGCTTTAGACATTATAGCTCGCCATTAAACATGCTCAGACCTTTAAAGCACACTCATCAGGGTGCATTGTGTGAATAGGCAAAAGTGCCACACCTGACGCTCACCTGTCAGGTTTTAGTATTTGCGTAGGAGAAATTTCTTTCTTTCTTTCTTTCTTTCTTTCTTTCTTTCTTTCTTTCTTTCTTTCTTTCTTTCTTTCTTTCTTTCTTTCTTTCTTTCTTTCTTTCTTTCTTTCTTTCTTTCTTTCTTTCTTTCTTTCTTTCTTTCTTTCTTTCCTCTAATTTTTAATTGAACGTTCTTTATTGACATGATTGTTTAAATACAATATTACTAAAACCAGTGCTTTCCACAGGTTTGAAATATACTTGTGGTGGTAACTGGCACATGGTTACCTAAATGCAACAAAAAAATATTTATTTTTAGTAATACTTATATTTATTATGACACTGCTATACATTGTTTCCTTTAAATGGGTTGAAGTTTAAAAAGAGACTGTTGAAAAAAAAATCCACTATATATTTTACTTCTATTCAGGAGCCATGTGCACCCACTGACAGGTAAAATCTGCTGATGACATTTTGTACAGTATTGCCAAAGGATCTAAGATATGTATAAAATATGCAGTCAACATCATCAAATAAAAAAAAAACAGCAATATTTATAAAAAGTATAATTAGAATAAAAGTGAAGATTATTTAATTAAGCCAAATTAGCAAATTAACCATTTATAATGGTGCTCAAATATTTTGCAGCCGGTTTAAATGTAATTTCCTCCGCTCGTTTTAATAGAAGAATTAATTATTTAATGTTTCTCTCGCTCTTGTGGCTGTGCATGCGCTGTCAGCTGCGAAGCCAAGCAAAAGTTAATCAGGCTTACAACCAAAATGTAATGCAAAACCGGATAAATTTAACGTCAACTTTAGAAAGCAAAACCAAAAGCCGAATCCTGGACATTTTAGGAGATTTAAAAACCCTGCACAAAAGCATTATTAAGTCTCAAAAAGGCAGGAAACGTATAGGGCAAGATGAGATTTTCCACTGGTCAATTGATTGCGGATGTTTGGCTATTGGGTGGAATCAAAAAAGTGTAAGGATGATAATAGTAAAAAATAAATGTCACTAAATATATTTATATTTAGCGATTATGATTTTTTATTTTCTTTTTTTGTCAAATAAGTGCATAATACTACATTCTAATGGCTTAAGTTTTCTTTAAAATTCTTAGTAAATGCAAAGATTGTTTTAATTAGAAAACAACATCTCATGTTTTCTTTTGAGCCCTATCCACACTAGTAACTAACAGTGAGTGTTTACATGGACACCAATAATCCGATTTTAATAGAATACAGACTATATTCTACCATATAAACAGATTTCTGATTAATTTAATCAGATTAAGGTCATAATCAAACTAAACAAAAATCAGATTAAGACATGTGGAATATGCCGATTTTAGTCGCATTATTGAAGTTCAGTACAGACATGGAAACACAGCAGTCAAACTAATACTGTGTGTCAGATTTTTATTGCATTTTGCGACAGGATAGTCTATGCTTGGACCGGTATAAGAATGTAGCGGTATTATAACCTTTGATAACAATATAATGATTTCACAGTATTGTGATTACTGCTCTACAATATGTATTTTTTAAATGTCTGGGTAAAAAACAAAAAGTTTTTTTTTGCTTTGAACACAATGGCTGCGTCCGAAATCACAAACTTCAATACTATATAGGATGTTAAAAACAGTATACAAAAAAAAAAAAGTAGTATGTCTGAGTTCAAAGAAATCAAAAAAACTGTATCCGAGAAGATGAAAAATTTAAACACTCAAAATTACATGGAAGTCCAGAGGAAATGTGGATAGCATGGAAACACAATGGCGTTAATCGAATTATGTGCTATAACATGTAAAATGGGATCATTAAAGGATCATTTAAAAAGCAACTCATGTAAACACCTTAATCATATTATAGTCTTTATTTAGATTAAGGCAAATAATTCAATTACTGATGTCCATGTAAATGTAGGCTGTGAACTAGAGACTCATACGTGACTAGTAGGCTGCTCAGCATGGCTTACCTAACCACAACTGGCAAAAGGTACTATAAAAATGGCAAGGTACCATAATATGAGTAGCAATCTACTGTACAGTGAATTCTGGTAAGCAAATAGATGGCTTCTTCTATGCTTCTGTTTCCAGCATTTCTGAATTAGCTGAACCACATGCACAGGCTACAAAGCATCAAACCGATCAGATAAAGGCATCTGAATCAGACAGACATGCTTAATTTTTTATGTAGGCAGGGTTTTTCCAGATTTTTGTTCAAAACATTAGTTCAAACTGTTGAAATATTACAGTAATTGGGGGCAGGTGTGCAGTTGACCTTTATTATTTCAAGCGAAACTAACATGCTTTTAGTAGAAATCTCCATTTGCAGAGAGACATTCGGGGCTTTTGATAGAGGATTAAACCTAAAGCAAACTGTCGGAGACCTTAATTCTATTTTGCTTTGTCAAGTCAGGTTGCTTTTCTTTTCCTTTTCACCCTGCATGACTGCAGCCTGCATATGTACTCCCTTGTTACTGTCATTTCAGCCTAATGGGCGCTAATTACAGGATTTTTAAGCGCAATCGGATTATGGAACGAAGTGCCACTGAGGTAATTTATTTCCTTGAAAATTCCAGGGCCGAATCAGTGCTGAGCTGTAACTGCTAATCCTAGATATTTGAAAGGGTGGGCAGAGTTTTTAGCTTGAGGTTTACTGTAAGTTACATAATATTGCTTTACATAGGGTAGTATTTACTGTATTTATCACCGCAGTTTTACAAAATGCTGCAAAAGGGGGTGTGGTAATTTGTGTAGTGGAGGGAGGAGAGGAGAAACCGTCAATCAAAGAGCGTTTATGAATTAAGAACTTTTTTTTAGCTATAACACATTAGCTACCAAATTAAAAGACTATTCACCATTTAATTCAGCATATACCATTACGATGAACAAATATTCTGTATGGTTTTGTAAGCTCACTGTACATTTCTCAAGTGCACACATACCCTGTGGCCATTATATTTTAATACACAAACAAATGCCCAATTGTTTGCATTATACACTGCACAGCGGATACAATAGCCGGGTTTTCACTGTCGCACCTAAATCGAGTAAACCAGGGCCAGGCGTGTTTCCACAGTCACTTCCGGGGCCTGACCGGGCAAAAGCGAGACTTCTTCTTCGCTTGAGTGTGGAGTGAAAGCAGAGGTGGAGTTTGCTCGAGTCTGATTAAGATGGTGTGCTGCCATTCCACTAGTTTTCTGATCGCATGAGTACATGCGCCAAAAAACATTTAA